TGTTTGGGGTCGTTATCATGTTGGAAAACTGCCGTTCGGCCCAGTTTCTAAAGGGAGGGATTCATGTTCTGCTTCAGAATGTCACAGTACATGCTGGAATCCATGTTTCCCTCAATGAACCGCAGCTCCCCAGTACCAGCAGTACTCATGCAGCCCCAGACCATGATGCTACCACCACCATGCTTGACTGTAGGCAAGACACAATTTCCTTGGTACTCCTCACCAGGGCGTCGCCACACATGCTGGACACCATCTGAGCCAAACAAGTTTATCTTAGTCTCATCAGACCACAGGACATGGTTCCAGTAATTCATGCTCTTGGACAGGTTGTCTTCAGCAAACTGTTTGCGGGCTTTCTTGTGAGCCAGCTTTAGAAGAGGCTTCCTTCTTGGATGACAGCCATGCAAACCGACTTGTTGCAGTGTGCGGCGCATGGTTTGAGCACTGACAAGTTGACCTCCCGCTTCTGCAACCTCTAAAGCAATGCTGGCAGCACTCATGCGTCTGTTTTTTGAAGCCAGCTTCTGTACCTGACGCACAGCACAAGGACTCAACTTCTTTGATCGACCCTTGCGAGGCCTGTTCCGAGTGGAACTCGTCTTAGAAAACCTCTGTATGACCCTGGCCACTGTACTGCAACTCAGGTTCAGGGTGTTACAGATTTTCTTATAGCCTAGGCCATCTTTGTGGAGAGCAACAATTCTAATTCTCAAATCCTCAGAGTGTTCTTTGCCATGAGGTGCCATGTTGAACATCCAGTGGTTAGTATGAGAGAATTGTACTCAAAGCACCAAATTTTAACTGCTCTAATACAAGATACACAAATTTGTATGGTCCTGTCAAGCAGACAAAAACATGAACATGATGAATAGGACATGTGGCTTTGCATGGTTAAATGACATACAGCTGTCACTTAGGGTGTACTCACTTTTGTTGCCAGCTATTTTGACAATAATGGCTGTATGTTGAGTTATTTTCAGAGGACAGTAAATCTGTACTGCTATACAAGCAGCACATTGACTACTCTAAAATATATCAAAGTTTCATTTCTATAGTATTGTCCCTTGAGAAGATATACTAAAATGGTTGCTGAAAAGTGAGGGGTGTACTCACTTTGTGAGATACTGTATGTGTATATATATATATATAAAAGAAAAAATTTGTAGGGCAAAAAACATAATAAATTAAAGGTTTAATGAATTCAAACAATGGTCCTTTTTCATTATTAAGATTTAATTCAACCATTACAATGGAAAACACAATTTGTGAAAAAATAAAACAGATTTCATTGGGCCCTACAAATCCCTAAGCCTACATATAAGCAATAACAGAAAGCACCACTAAATGAATGCAGAATGAATGATATGGCACTGATGGGCTGCTGCATGTTTTCGTACCTGAGCTGTTTGAGGAACTGTATGTCAGAGCTGCTGCTGATGAGTTTGATGAACTCCTCATAGGACGGCGCATATGTGTACGCTTTCTTATGATGTTCGTTCACCTGCTCTCGGTGCTCTAACTGAGCTAGCAGCATGCGGTTAATGTAGTCTGGATCGCTCAACACGTCCACCAATGGCTTTAACACTACAAAGAGAAAGAGATAGAACATGTTAAAAGCTTTGTGCTAAACCCAGTGAGCTGACAACCTCAACATGAGGACTGTTCCAAAGGGTAGGCAGCATAATTATTATTGCCTTCCATGCATCACAAACGACAAGCTACTCATAATTGAACTACAATCAAGCAACCCTTTTAAAAAGGTAATTATTGTAGCTACATATGAAGTTACTCAGAAAAAGTAGCTGCACAAGTTTTCTAAATATACATCTATCCAATTATATTATTAATGTTTACCATCAAAGCATTTCATAAAAGCAAAATATCTCAATTAGGGTGATAGCATTATATGAACATATTCAGACAACAACTAAAAAACAAATATATATTAAATACAATTTACATAACTGAGAAAAAACTGCATCAAAATATTTCACTTAAAAAAGAAATGATAATATTAAATGAAATTAAATATTTACAAAAAATTTTATGAAAATTTAAAACAATAAAATGAAGGAAATAATTTTAAAAAATCACAAATCATTCTGATTTGTGAAAACGCAGTCATCTGCACATATGAGCTGATGAATCATCAAAATCAGTTCAGTTGCACTATATGAACAAATGATTCATTAAAAAGCATATGAGAGCATGCATTTGATTATGTAAAAACAGTGAAAAACAAATAGTTGTATTTATTTTACAAACACAAAAGATCTCAATTAGGGTGACAGCATTACATGAACATACATATTTAGACTAAATACAACAACAAAAAAATAAACAATTTAAATAAAATTCATTACAATTAATATAACCAAGAAAAAACAGTGCATCTAAATATTCCACACAAAAAAAAGAAATTACATTTTTAAGTATTTAAATGTAAATCTCAAACAATTTAAACAAAAATCAAAATGAAGTACTTATTCTTATTACTTATTCTGATTCTTGAAAATGCAGCCATCTGCAAAGACACTCATTTGAATCATCTGAATCAATTCATTTGCAATAAACTGTATGAACAAATCAATTCTGAGTCAAATTCTACCATGCATTTCACTTCTTAAAGTGTGCTACTGAGGTCAGATATGGAAATTCTGCCAATGCAGAACTTCAAATCAATCTTTTATCAAAGTTTTCTTTCAGTTAAAATGCTGACGAAGAGAGTAGTTGCTTATGTAAACTGTAGAAAGCACGGCAGCTCACTAACACAGTTAAAAAAAAAATTTTTTATAAGTTTACTGGTGTCTGTTTTACAAGAAAATACTATTTCAGTCTTTCAACTTCGAAATTTAATGTTTAATTCAGTGCGTTTCTTTGTAATTATTTGTAAAATTTACTAGCAATTTCTGAGTGAAAACTGTTTCAAAGTAAATCGTACAACAAATTATTTTCAGTGTACAATTGGTTTTGGAACAGAGTTACACTCAACAGTCCACAACTAAAATCAAACTGTTCTTCTCAAAACCTCATTGCGCTTTAGTCAATCTCTCCTCCGTCACTCATCATGATGAAACCTCCTCAGGAGCTCGTTGACGTAGCGCTGATGAGGAACGCTGAGACACAGCAGACGGTGCACGAGGCAGTGACTCATTACTGCCAGACAGAGCTGGCGGATGACGTCTCGCCCTGAAAAAAACGGGTGGCAACCTGCCAGTCTGAGACAACAGATGCAAACGCTTCCTCCAATATAACCCCAGACCAGAGGAGACAAGAGCAGCTGCATCCTGAATCAATCTTTTCAAGTGCAGTTTTAGTATGTTCTTGTGACGATGAAACCGTTAGCTTTGCAGGTATCAGATTGTCAACAAAGATGTCTCTGGTCAACTACATTTTGGAGGATAAACAATGCTATTTATACAGGTTTTATAATGAATTCAGCAGACACTTTATCATCCAAAGTGCAATCAAGGTATACATTTTATCAGTTCGATCATTCCCTGGGAATCAAACCCAAAACCTAGTGCTATGCTCCATTATTGCTTTAAGTAGAAAGTTGGAAATTCCCACTTTCCTAGTTAAAAGTTTAAAGGAATAGTTCACCCAAAAAATTGAAATCTGCTTAAAATGTACTCCTCATCAGGCCATCCAAGATGTAGATGAATCAGTTTCTTCATGGGAACAGATTTAGAGAAATGTAGCATTACATCACTTGCTCACGAATGGATCCACTACAGTGAATGGGTGCCATCAGAATGAGAGTCCAAACAGCTGATAAAAACATCACAATAATCCTCAAGAAATCCACACCACTCCAGTCCATCGATTCTGTTAAATTGTGAAGCGAAAAGTTGCGTGTTTGTATGATACAAATACAATATTAAGGTGTTTAAGTTTAAACTGTCACTTTGAGCCATAAAATACAAGCCTAGAATCTATAATATCACTTCCTCCAGTGAAAAAGTCCATCCCCTGTTGTCCTGTTGTAAAATAAACCGACATACACTACCAGACAAACGTTTTTGAACGGTAAGATTTTTTATGTTTTTAAAGAAGTCTCTTCTGCTCTCAAAGCCTGCATTTTTTTGATCCAAAGTGCAGCAAAAATAGTATTATTGTAAAATATTTTTACAATTAAAAATTTCTATTTGAATATATTTTTAAAATGGCTGAATTTTAGCATCATTACTCCAGCCACATGATCATTCTGATTTGCTGCTCAAAAAAAACATTTATTATTACTATTATGTAGAAAACAGCTGAATAGAATGTTTTCAGGTTTCTTTGATGAATAGAAAGTTCAGAAAAACAGCATTTATCTGAAAAAGAAATCGTTTGTTACATTATAAATGTCTTTATCATCACCTTTGATCAATTTAAAACATCCTTGCTAAATGAAAGTATTAATTTAGCTGTATTTTGGATCAAATAAACGCAGGCTTGCTGAGCAGAAGAGAATTCTTTAAAAAAACATTAAAAATCTTACTGTTCAAAAACTTTTGACTGGTAGTTTATTTGTTTAGAACTGTTTTACAATGTTTTCGCTTGTGAACTGTGCTTAATCTGTGCATATTTCTCTCCTGATTCAGATTCAGATTAGACGGCTTTTTCACTGGATAAAGCAATATTATGAATAGAGGACTTATATTTAAGCCAGAATCAACAGTTTGAAGTTAACATTTTGGTGGATTTGTTTCTTACAAACATGCAGCTTTTTGTTTTACAAGACGTTAATTGATGGACTGGAGTGGTGTGGATTACTTAAGGATTAGTGTGATGCTTTAATCAGTTGTTTGGACTCTCATTCTGATGGCACCCATTCACTGAAGAGGATCCATTGGTGAGCAAGTGATGTAATGCTACATTTCTCCAAATCTGATGAAGAAACAAACTCATCTACATCTTGGATGGCCTGCGGGTGAGTAAATTCACAGCAAATTTTCATTTTTGGAAAAACTACTCCTTTAAGAATAACATTTTGGGTAAAGGAAATTACTTAATCATAATGTGTAAGTGATGGCAGATTTCTGAACACCTAAAATTCTTTAATATCCTGCGGTAATCCATAATTTCTCTGTATCACACTGACATGAACTACCAGCAGTCATTACAACCTCCATCTCTCTCCAGCAGCCTGTCTGTCAGTCGCCTATAATAGATGTAATTAGTAATTTCATGGCAAATCAAAGACGATTACAATCACACATCTGGTGCTCATCGAAAATATCCTGGAATCAATTTCATGATTTGTTAAAAAAAAAAAACCTGCAGTAGATGAGTTTCATCAGTTCTGCACAAGAGCAGCATTGTAAGAACACAGATGAGCACTGAACAGACAATCAGCTCCGTCCAATCCAATTGTGCAGAGAGACATCAGTTGAGACACTGAAGCTTGAGCCAAAAAAAAGATTTTCCCAAAATCTAATTCTCAAGTTATGATACTGTCAGTGAATGAAAGCTTTGTTCTGTGAGAGGGGGATTTATCAGTGTGTAGAACATGAGCACCAAATCTCGGCATCTGATTTTGATTCATGAAAGCAAATTACTTTTACTTATCAAAGTCTTGTACTGCTTTCAGCCGTATTAAAGAAATATCTTCACTAAACGCATCAAGGGAAGATTATGACGAACAAAAGCTAATCTGTGTGAGTTTTCTTGCATTTTATAAGAATTTATGTCATTGAATACAAGTAATAAGATTAAATTATCCTTTCTTCTGTCACCTATTATAGAGTGATGGTAATATCACAATACTGTTTGTGTCTTACTACTATGTCAGCCCTTTTATGGCTATAGCTATTTTTCGGATGAAAGTTACATTATTTTATATATTTTAATATATTTTCAAATGTAATGTATTCATGTGATGGCAAAGCTGAATTTTTAGCAGAAACTTGTTATTATCAATGCTGAAAACAGTTGTGCTGCATAACATTTTTGTGAAAACTGTAATACATTTTTCAGGATTCTACAATTAATAAAAAGTACTAAGAGAAATAAATAAAAATATTTTTGTAATATATATATATATAGATCTTACATATAGATATACATATATACATACAGTATATACACATATATATACATACAGTATATACACATATATATACATACAGTATATACACATATATATACATACAGTATATACACATATATATACATACAGTATATACACATATATATACATACAGTATATACACATATATATACATACAGTATATACACATATATATACATACAGTATATACACATATATATATACATACAGTATATACACATATATATATATACATACAGTATATACACATATATATATATACATACAGTATATACACATATATATATATACATACAGTATATACACACATATATACATACAGTATATACACACATATATACTAAGGGGGTCTGAATACTTTCCGTACCCACTGTATATACAGTACTTTTTGCACTTTTTTGTCACATTGTACTGACAAGCAAAAATCATAAGGACTGAAAAATATCACACAGTGTACACCAGGTTCAGTGAGTCACCTTTAGTAGCGACAACCTCCACCAGTAAGAGGCGCAGACTGCGTGAACGAGCGTCCCGCGCAGGCAGCAGACGCAGCATGAGCAGACGGGCGCAGCAGCGCAGGAAACGCAGCTCTTCATCGGGACTGCGCAGACACGGATGCAACGGAAACGCTCGTGGTACTTCCTCCAGCCTTGAGAGAGAGAGAAAAAGAGAGAAACTATTGTATTCTATTGTATTTAAACTGTCATGCAAATGAAACCATCTGAAAATTGAAATTGTAAGAGACAGAAATTAATATCTTGTTTTATTTTATTTTAATTCAATTACTAGCACTATCTTTATTTTCTCCTTTTTCTTATTTGGCAACATGCAAAGCAAACATGCCAATAAAGTACTTCGAAAAACTGTAAGAGATCGCAATTAAAGGGGTCATATGATGCTTTTTTTAAGATCATTATTTGGGATCTTATCTATGCACAATCAGCTTGTAACACTCCAAAGAGAAAGGAAAAATTGAAATCGCATCATATGACCCCTTTAACAGAAGTAACCATAACAGAAATTTTATTTATTTTTAACTCAAACTATAATATAATAATTATATATTATATTATATATATAAAAAAAATCCCCCTTTCTTCCTATGCAAACCAATCATGCCAATAAAGCATTTTGAAGAAGTACAATTCCAAGAGATATTAATAAAATAATAACAGATACTAATATCTTTTTTATATATATATATACTCTGAACAAAATTATAAACGCAACACTTTT